ATTCATACAGCACTCTACTAGACATTCATTCATACAGCACTCTACTACACACACATTCATACAACACTCTACTACACACACATTCATACAACACTCTACTACACACATTCATACAACACTACTACACACACATTCATACAACACTCTACTACACACATTCATACAACACTACTACACACACATTCATACAGCACTCTACTACACACACATTCATACAACACTCTACTACACACACATTCATACAACACTCTACTACACACACATTCATACAGCACTCTACTACACACACATTCATACATCACTCCACTGCATCTCTACAAAACTAATCTGGACAAATCATTCTAAAGAGACTAATCAGAGCTTTGTCACATTCATACACTGATGGACACACATCGGAGGCGATGAGGGGTTCATTGTCTTGCCCAGGGACACTTCAGCATGTGACTGCTGGTGGAATTTTTTTTCATGGACCTCGCATTAATACAAGTAGTCTCATTGAGCCACAAGAACTCATTTTCAAGAGAGACCTGTTTTTTGGGAGCAGATGTTGGGGGTTAAGATGTTTGGTGAGGCAAATGAGGGTGGAGGCAGGAGTGGGTGTTTCACCTTTTCCACCCACGTTTTGATGTTGAAACTGTGACTTTCTGATCACAGGCCCTTCTTCTCTTACCTCTGCATCACCACTCAAGAATAAAAATCAAGAATATACATACATACAGTAGCAGAATCGAACCCCCAACTCTCCCATTTGAGGGCGACTGCTCTAACCACTCAGCCACAGCCGCCCCACAAAACAATACCTTACTGTTTTCCTTCTTTCATTCAATAGTTAAACTAATCGAGAAGTTTTGTTGCGATGGTGAACAGCAGTTGTGTGTTTCAGGTGTTCTGGCTGATCCCTCCAGTTCATTCAAACCTGGAGCTGTATGAGAACTGGGTCCTGTCTGGGAAACAGGGAGATATTTTCTTGGGAGATCGAGTAACTGACTGTCAGAGGATTGAACTGAAACAAGGCTGCACCTTTATCATACCATCTGGTACGTTTGGAACTCATTGCATCCAGACATGATTTAGTAACAAGATTCAAACATAATGCTGATGCATGTGGACTCAGGTTGGATTCATGCTGTCTACACTCCTGTCGACTCTTTGGTGTTTGGTGGAAACTTCCTGCACAGCTTCAACATCCCAATGCAGCTCAACATCTGCAGTATAGAGGACAGAACAAGGGTAGGTTCAAACCCATTGTCTTATTTTTACCTCGGTCCCTAGAGAGCAATGCAGTGCATGGCGAAGTTTAACTGAAATAATAAAATCACGCTATCCAACATTTTTCAGTCAGGTCATCTGGACAGTTTCTTTTTTTGTGCTGAAACGTTTCGCCTTTGATCCGGAAGGCTTCTTCAGTCAAGGAAACACACAACAAAACTGATTCTTCAATCACGCTATGCTTTGTTAAGTTTCTGAGTTTATAACGGGAATCTATCGCACAGATGAGCCCACCCTTCTAAAATCACAGGACCTAGAGCGAGGAGCTGTGACTCATAAAACTAGTTAAAAATCAAAACAAAATGTGTTCTTGTTCATATTAGGGATGGGGCTGATCCAGTCCGTATCGTCCTCCGATACCAGCATAATTTACGTATCAGATTTTTCCGATCCAACCTGCAGAGATTTCTGATCCATGATGCATGTTGGCTTCAAACTATGGAATGGATTTCATGAACGGTGGCGTGTCTCATGAACCCAAAGTAATAAGACCCGCTTCACATTCAGGAAATCCAGTCCATAGTTTGCAGCCAGCTACAACGTGAGGACTGAGTTAGCAGCATGGTGGCTAACAGCTAACAAACTTTTCATCTAAACATGTCCGCTGTGTGGAAGTATTTAACACTAGAAACACCACAAAACAAGACAGCAATGTGCAATGTCTGCAGAGCCATAGCTCCACATTAAACCACGGTAAAGTTAGTTTTACGATGGACATTCGAGCTTCGTGGCTTCAGCGGGGCGCTGCTCTCGCTGAACCTGAAACAGGCAACTCGGCCCCGGCCAGCCTCGTCCAATCTGCCCCGCTCAGTCTGCCCGTCTCTGAGGAGGAACAGAC